ATGCAGGAATGAATATCTTCATGCCTTGTCTTTCCTTTCTTTTTTTTGGCTTTTGTTGAATACTTTTTTCCCCCACACAAGGAGATTACTAGTCAAATAATATAGCTCTTACTATATATTGACTGGTTTCTCTTCCAAAAAGTTAATCATAGCAACTGCAACAACCATTTATGCAACAATTATTAGTACTAATTGAGTATCTACTGATAGAGGCTCTGAGTTCTATGGCATCAAATGAGCAAAACAGACAGACCCTGCCCTCCTGTAGCTTCCAGTCTAGTACAGGAGGGTAGCATTCATCAGCAAATCACACAAGTGTATAATTAGAAAGTAACACATAGTATGAACTAAAAATACAGGCCACTTGCCAAGAGACAGAAGTCAGTTTTACAACAATCTCAGCAGCACTGGTGGTGGTTTGGGGGGTTTTGTTTTTAATTTTACTGTATTTTACTAAAAAAAACCGGCGGGGGGGGGGGTGCGGGTAGTGGGATTGCTTTGCCTGTTTTCATTTTGAATTAATCTGAATTGTTCCTTCCTCATTCATCTGCTGCTTAACGGAAGTCCTCTACTGTGCAAAACAACAACAAAAAAAAAGACAAATTTACACTTAAATTTTTTTAAAGATAAAAACTGGAGCATACTTACAAACTCATCGTATCCTTTCTGTCTGTTTATTCTTTAACTGACTCCTCGTCTCTGACGCTGATGCAGGACTCAGGTTTAAATCCCAGCTCCTCCACTTCTAGCTCTGTGACCTTCAGGAGATGAATTAAGCTTTTTGAGTCTCAGTTTCCCCATGGATCAAACAGAACTCTTACCTTCTGGGTGTGATTTTTGGACCTAGGTCACATGTGAGCCTTCCTTAATGTGGGGAAAAAAAGAGACAATAGCAGAATAGGCTTTGGCTCCTGGAAGATGTTATTACCATACCCAAACCAATACTCATGTGGTTCACAAAAACACAGGGCTAACTAAGAAAAGAATGAGCAGGTTACAGTCTTATATTCTGAAAATGCAGGATGGGTAGTGCTCAGCCGCTCAACAGGAGCCCTCCTAATCTGGATGCCAGGGAAGGCCTTCCCTAAGGAGGAGTCTTAGAGCTTAGAACTGAGGGTCAGTAGGAATTCACCAGGTCAGTCAGGGCACAAACCTATGTGTCATCCTACCGTCCTCTCTCACATCCAGTCCATCTGCTGATGGTTCTTGCCGACCATACTTTCTGACCACATATCCTGAACTCCTTCACCTCCACTGCTGCCTCTGTAGACCGGGTCACCACTGTCTCTTGCCTGGGCCACGCCAGTAGCCACCAGAGGTATTGCTCTATGCTGGATCATTTCACTCTGCTGCCCAAAACCCTCCAATGCCTTCCCATCACTTGTCACATAAAGTCCAGATTCCTTACCATAGTCTACAAGGCCCCCCACGATCTGCCCCTGACTACCTCTCTGCCCTCATTTTCTAAACAACTCTTATGTGTCCCTTCCTTAAGGCTTTGACTCTTGCCGTTCCGTCTCCCTGGAACGTTCTCCCCATTCACCTGCATGGCTACTTCAGTACTCTGTCCAGGTGTCACTTCTCCACAGTGGGCTGCTTTGAGCTCTCCTCCACCAGTATCCTCTTCTTTCACAGTCCCTTTCCCCTGCTTTTCTTGTTTTCACAGCACTTTATAAACTCCTGCCATTATTGTGTTTTTAGTTATTTACTTGATTATTTTTTCTGTTTTCCCCACTAAAGTGCAAGTTCTGTGAGAACAGAACTTTATTCAGTGCTGATCCCAAATACTTAAAACAGTGCCTGGCACATAACAGGTGCTCAATAAGTATTTGTTGAATGAACTAGATGATAAATGAATGAATGAGTCATATAAGCAAAGCTGGGGGCAGGGGTGGGGGGAGATGTTCTAGATAGATAGCAGGGACTGCATGTACAGAGGGCCTGTAGCCACTAGGGGTTGCAGAACTGAAAGAAGGCCTGTGGGGATGGTGTACAGACAGGCTGCAGTGAAGGAGAGATGGTGCAGAGCAGGAGCCAGACCAGACTACAGAGAACCTTCTGGGCTTTGCTGCAAGGTTTTGGCCTTTGTTCTAACAGCAATGAGAAGCTATTAAAGGGTTTCAGATAAACTGAGAGTTGTATTTTTATCAGGTCCCTCTGACTACTCCAAAGTGACAACAGTTTGCATTTGGATGCTATTGAAAAAGATCAGTCGCTCAGTCGTGTCCCACTCTTTGTGACCCCATGGACTGCAGCACGCCAGGCTTCCCTGTCCATCACCAACTCCCAGAGCTTACTCAAACTCCTGTCCATCGAATCAGTGATGCCATCCAACCATCTCATCCTCTTTCGTCCCCTACTCCTGCCTTCAATCTTTCTCAGCATCAGGGTCCTTTCCATTGAGTCAGTTCTTCGCATCAGGTGGCCAAAGTATTGGAGTTTCAGCTTCAGCATCAGTCCTTCCAATGAATATTCAGGACTGATTTCTTTTAGGACTGACTGACTGGATCTCCTTGCAGTCCAAGAAAATCTCAAGAGTTTTCTCCAACACCACAGTTCAAAAGCATCAATTCTTCAGCACTCAGCTTTGTTTATAGTCCAACTCTCACATCCATACATGACTACTGGAAAAATCATAGCTTTGACTAGCTGGACCTTTTTTGGTAAAGTAATGTCTCTGCTTTTTAATATGCTGTCCAGGTTGGTTATAGCTTTTCTTTCAGGGAGCAAACATCTTTTAATTTCATGGCTGCAGTCACCATCTGCAGTGATTTTGGAGCCCCCTCAAAAATAAAGTCTCTCACTGTTTCCCCATCTATTTGCCATGAAGTGATGGGACCCGGTGCCATGATCTTCGTTTTCTGAATGTTGAGTTTTAAGCCAACTTTCTCACTCTCCTCTTTCATCAGGAGGCTCTTTAGTTCTTCGCTTTCTGCCATAAGGGTGGTGTCATCTGCATATCTGAGGTTATTGATATTTCTCCCAGCAATCCTGATTCCAGCTTGTGCTTTATCCAGCCCGGCATTTCGCATGATGTACTCCGCGTATAAGTTAAATAAGCAGAGTGACATTATACAGCCTTGTCATACTCCTTTCCTGATTTGGAACCAGTCTGTTGTTCCATGTCCAGTTCTAACTGTTGCTTCTTGACCTACATACAGATTTCTCAGGAGGCAGGTCAGGTGACCTGGTATTCCTATCTTTTAAGACTTTTCCACAGTTTGTTGTGATCCACACAGTCAAACGCTTTGGTATAGTCAATAAAGCAGAAGTAGATGTTTTTGAAAAAGACAGAGAAATGTAATTTGGAAGTAAATGAACAGGCACTACTTCTTATCCCTATAATCCAGGGTGGATGGCTTTGCTTACTGGACCCAAGAAACAAACTTAAGATCTCTTCATTGGCACAGAATTGAGCCATGTAACACATTCTTTTTCCCTCCACAAATTACATTTAACAAACCCTGATGGAGCTTTTGCCACACACCAGGCCTGTGCCAAGAGCTGCAACAGATACAAACATGGATGAGGGGTAGCAGACCACCCAAGGAAAGTAACATCCTGATAGAAATAGTGGACTTTTGCCTTTCTTAATTCCCTGCCATGAAAGGAAGATAAGTTCTACTTGCCCTTAGTGTTCAGCCCTATTTTCACTCATCTGCTTCATATTATGTACACCTTTTTACCCTCTCTGCTCACCCCAATGCCCAGCCAAACTTAGGCACTCAGTACATCTTTGAAGGAAAGTAAATTTTTCTCCTTGACTATTATGGAACCAGTTCCCTAAATGAGGTTTCTCTTAAAGTTTACTGAGCTTTTATCAATTGTCCAAGCCAAGTAGAAAAGAATAACTTCCTACCTTAACTCACAAGGCTATTATGAGGAAAAAAGATTCAAGGGGCTTTGCAAATGTGAAAGGTGTTTGAATGGTAACCCCCTGCATTTGCACTGTGGTCATTACTATTATTTCCTAACAATTCAACAAATATTTCTTGAACATTTCATTTACCTTGTGCTCAGAGCTAGAGATGGACAGATAAACAAGATACAGTTTCTGCCCTCAGGGAACTTACATTCACACGTGTGCTGGAGCACTGTGGGTCAAGGTAAAGAGAATTTGAAAGTCACTACCTGCCCTTCACTGCACAGAACACAGATGCCAGAGTAGCATGCAGCATTTCCCCTTTCCACATTTTGTTGCTTCTCACTTCCAAGCTCCTTATTGCCCATGACCCCACATAGAAGGCCTTTCCCCCTTGAGTACACCCAGAGGATGCTTTATTAAATGATATTTAAAATATTGGAACTTCTGTGCAAGCAGAGGCAACAGCTTTTCTTTAAATTCCCATTAATAGCATCTCCCATTAGTATGCATTCCAGTCTCTGGCTTACGGTTGACAGTTATAGTTTTCTTTGCTCTTGCATTTTAAGTCCTCCCGGGCCCTGGAAACCCTGGTGCTAGTTAATGATTTTCTTGCAGGCACTAAAAAGTCACGTAGTCCCTAGGGTCCTAGATATCTGGGAGCAGGGAGTTGGGGGGGGGGTGCGGAAGGGAGGAAAAGAGAGGGTTAGACTAGATCCTAAAATTACGGGATCCATGCCCAGATCCCCACCTTCTCTTTTCGCTGTTTTCAGTCTGTGGGCTAACCATCAAGACATAGTCTCGTACTTTATTGAGGCAGCCTCTGTAGACAGAGGCACTTGCAGGGTACCCAGGAAGACCAACTTCAGGACTAGCCAGGCGCTGTGCGCGGCCTGCGGGCCGTGGTGAGGGAGAGGGGCCTGTTGGAGCATGCGCATCACTGAGCCCAGGTGCGCGCCGCGGCGGCGGTAGGCGGAGGCGGGTTCGGCGATGGCTACGGGAAGCGATTGGCTCTGCGTAGGGGAGGGCGGTCCCGCTTCCGCCGGGCACCGGAAGTGGCCCTCCGCCCCTGTTCAGTGGGCCATGGAGAAAGTGGCGCTGTAGCGTCTGAATTGTGAGAACTGCGGGGCCGGCGGCCATGGAGGCCGTGCTGAACGAGTTGGTGTCTGTGGAGGACCTGCTGGTGAGGCCCGGCTCCGCGGGAGGGAAAAGGAAGGTTCGGAGGGGCGGGCCCTGAGGAGATTCGGGTAGGGGCCAAACTCTCCTCTCAGCATCAATTTTGGGTAGAGAAGCCGAACTACGGCTCCCGGCAGCCCCAGCAGCGTTCGGCTCTGGACCCCCAGAGGGTCCACCTTGCCCCAGAGGCTAATGGGAGTTGTAGTTTCCTATGCCACCACGCCTCAGACTCGGGGCCTGGAGTCTGACGGGTGCTAGGTTCTGTCAGAAGCTCGAGGTCAGGATGCGGGCACTTGATTTTAAGTGCTCCTTCAGTGGCGGGGGAACACAGCGACCACCGTAAAGTTTCACATATTACTCAATCCGGCACAGCGCTAAGTCCCTTGTAGGGAAGGTCTCAATCTTTGTAACTCTAACGAGAAGTAGGCACGGTTTTTACTACCGTTTTTTCCTTCAGATAAGATAGGGTCCAGACTAGGCAGGGTGGGGCTGAGAGAAGCAGTCTCCGACGAGGGGCCGCGTGGGCTGAACTGCTGTTGAGCTGTTCTGACAGCCTGTTTACTGTTCAAGCCAGCCTCTCGGGGTCAGCTGCTCCGGGAGCGGTGCCTGGAGCCGCCACCAGGTGGCATCTCCACTCGGCACCACTAGGGGGAGGGAAGCAGAGAGGGGAGGTCCAAGGAGACAAAGGAGACGACCCGGCACTAAGAAGCAGAATGCCTGGGTCCCAGAGATGAAGATTGCAGAACCTGGGGTACCCCATGGTCGGGTACCCCAAGACCCGAACGGGGGATGTGGCAAAGGAGAAGATGGATAACAGGGACACCCAGGTCCTGCTAGAGTTCAGCTTGCCCCCTTCACTTCTAAATGACTCCTCTCCTCTCCTGCGGCAGAAATTTGAAAGGAAATTTCAGTCTGAGAAGGCAGCAGGCTCGGTGTCCAAGAGCACGCAGTTTGAATATGCCTGGTGCCTGGTGCGAAGCAAGTACAACGACGACATCCGTAAAGGCCTTGCTCTGCTGGAGGGTGAGGTGCTTGGCTGACTCCCCAACTCGCTCCTTCCCAACTTGCCATCGTCGTCCTCTGCCACCATTGGCCTGTTTGCTCCCTCCATCTCCAGTGTGGGGATCCTTTTTCAACATGGGATCTCAGAGTACAGTCACCTCACAGTTATCTTCCAGTAAACTCACTGCAAGAAAGGGCTATACTTAGTCTGACTTCTCCCAGTGTGCTTTTGGCTACTTGCTACCTCATTGGTGTTTTGCCAGACAGTCATAGCATGTCAGTCCCCGTGGGACTTTACTGATCTGCTCGTCTAGACAGAAGGAAAGTGACTCGTCTCAGGTCAGACAGGTGGTTAATAAATGGCTGAAATGGGACCAGAAGCTCCTGTCTTCGTGTGTCCCAGTCACATCCTTGCCCCCACACCTCACCATGTTGCTTATTTAGCAGCTATTGTTGAAAACCTTTGGGGGGAGTCAGGTAGAAGTCCAGAAGACTGTCCTCAAAACCTGTGAGCAGATGGTGTTTTTTTGATCAGAATCCTGTTTTTCGTTAACTTTGGATAGGTCAGCATTTGTCAGAGGCCACAATACTTGACCTTTAAATTTCTCTGTACCCCTTTTCTCTTGGTCAAGTACTGTTGTATAAACAATCACTGTACTACCCAAGGATACCTATTGTAAATCCATAAAAGTAAGAATCTTCATGAATGCAAATCATCTCAGCTTCCATTTGTGTATTTCTCAGGTTTCCTGAGAAATAGGACACAGCTGCAGAAGTGGTCTCTAAACATTGCCAGTCCAGTTGAGGAGACAGATGCTTGGGAAGCTGTATAAACACCTGCCCACTTAGCAACAAATTCTAGTGCACAGAGTACAGCTGAACACGTAACCTTATGGGGAGTCACTGAACTTAGAAAGTTATGTGGGATCTTTCAGGGAGAGGTAGTTGAAGGCGAGTTTGGAGCTGTTTTTTTAAAAGGAGAAGGAGTGGAAACTTATTTTGAACACTCGTCTGGGCAGCAAGCAATTGGGATAGAGATGCCTTTGGCTTGTCCAGTGCCCTGATTTGCTTTTAGTTCATTTGAATGAACCAGAGTTGACTGGAGTATTGATATGGGGGCTGCATACACCTCAGTGTTGGCTGGGGTTCATGCTGCCCCATGGCTCTGGCTAGAAAGCCCGGAGTGACTGGAGCTGAAGTGGAGGCTCGGGACAGTGAATGTAGGGAGTGGAGGGGGTGTCTGGGACATAGGCACTAAGAAGAGAAGGGGTTTTCACCCTTTTCCTTCCCCCCGACTCCCCAGAGCTGCTGCCCAAAGGGAGCAAAGAGGAGCAGCGGGATTACGTCTTCTACCTGGCCGTGGGGAACTACCGACTCAAGGTAAAGCAGAGCACTTCCTTCTCCCCCTCCACCCCACCTGGGTGGCCAAGCACCTGCTCATCTCTCTCCTCCAGGGTAGAGCCCAGGCCAGAGAGGCGCTCGGCACGGGGTGGTGTTGGGTACAGAGGTGCAAGGTGAAAGCGGGCCAGGACACTGAGGGAAGGCGAGAGACAGAGGATCAGGGTGCTGAGGGTGTGGGGAGCAAAGTGATGTCAGCACTGGGGTGCAGCCCCAAGCCTTGGGCTGTTATCTCCTTCAGCTTATCACCCCCACACAGTTGGGGTGGTTTGTGGACTCTACTCCTCTGGGTGGGGCTGGAGCGAGGGAGGGAGCGGGTGGAGGTCGAGGGAGGAGCCCCAGGGCCAGCAGAGAGAAGGCCCCTCTGATGGGCAGGCGGAGGGATGGAATTCTGAGGGGGTGTGTGTTGTTTTCCCTGAGTGCAGGAATATGAAAAGGCCCTAAAGTATGTGCGAGGGCTGCTGCAGACGGAGCCGCAGAACAACCAGGCCAAAGAATTGGAACGGCTCATTGACAAGGCCATGAAGAAAGGTGAAGGCCGTCCTCTCTGCCCCTCCGCCTCCCTCCACTCCCTGCCCTCATGTTTCCTTGGCCCCCGGCATCCCCAGGTTCCCTTTCCACTCTGTTAACTCCTCTTCTGTCCCCCGTGCCTGGGGCCTCTGGGCTCTCTTCAGATGATGCCCTCCGGGCAGTTCCTCCTCCAGCCCTCTTCTTTCCCCAGCCCTCAGGGCCTCTCACCCCAGGACTCCAGGGAAAGAGGCGTGTCTTCTGCCAAGGAGCAGCAGGCCGTGAGGTGGTAGCCAGGTCGCCGCAGGGACTGGGTTTGTCCTCGTGACAGTCTCCCTCTTCCTCTCCCCAGATGGACTAGTGGGCATGGCCATCGTTGGAGGCATGGCCCTGGGCGTGGCGGGACTGGCTGGACTCATTGGACTTGCTGTGTCCAAGTCCAAATCCTGAAGGAGACGGCATCCCTGCGTCTGTGCAGGGACATGTGGGAGCCCGTGGAGGACACTGGAAGAGCGGCCCACTCCCCTGGCCATCCGTTTCTTCTCCTGCACCCCATCCCTGTCCCCTGTGGCCGTCACCCTCCTCTCCCCAAGACCTGTCACCTATCCCCAAATCATGTGCTTTGCAATGAGTGTAAATAAAATTGGACTTGGGCTTGGGAACCTCTTGTGTCCATGTTGAGAAAGGGGTGGGTTTGGTTGGGCCCGGGAGATCAGAAAATGGAATATAAGGCTAAGCTGACGGGGGTCACACGTGGGCCATTCCTGCTCTGCGCCCTCCTACTCCTACCCCAGAGGCTGCTGTGGTGTTCTCCTTTGTCTGCCAAGCTGCCCAGATCCCACACCCTTCCTTCCTTCCCCCACAACTAGCCATGTCCTTGAGCAGTGGCAGGCAGCATAGGGACGTGGCCTTTGCACAGCCTTAGAATCCTGACAAAAACAGTGACCAGAGGCGGGAAGGGCAGAGCTAAAGGAACAGGCAAGAATTTATGTCTCCTCTGACCCACTCAGCTGCCTCTCAGCGCGTGGATTTCTCCACACCAAGGAGGCCCCCACTCAGTTTCCTCCAAAACCTCCGCCCTTCCCTCCCTTTGTCCTCCACGTCCTCCCTCCTCCCTGTCCCTCTCCTTAAGGGAGGGGGGCTGGTGTGAGGGGAGGAAATGGGCATTTGGCATGGAGTTGGCAGAGGTCATGGAAGAGGTCAGGAACCCATGACATCCCAGTTGCAGAAGGAAGGTCAGGACCCAGTCTCTACCCAGTCCACTTGGCCCCACACCCGTTGCCCTGTGCCAGGCTCAGCCTGGGCCTGTCTTGCTTCACTTCATACCTCTCATTCCTTACCCCCGCTGGGGGGACAGGGGAGGAGGCACCTGTGGGCAGCATGGAGGAGCCTGGCTCAGGGAGGAGGATGGAGATTACACCTCCGCACAGTGATGTCCCGTGTGACTGCCTGGGTGTAGAATGGGCCCCTTAGAACTGAGCCACAGCCACCCTCGCCAGAAGAGAACCGGAGCTGTCCCGGCTGTGGCCTCAGGGTGGGAAATGAGACTGTCTCTGCCAGGACAGGTGCTCAGCATTGGCTTGGGGTGGAGACATGGAGGTTTCTAGTCTGTCATAATTAGTAGAGCCGGTGACAGTTCTGATAACTCTGAGCTGCTTACACTATCAGAGGATCACGTCCTGGGCTTGTGATTTACCCTACTTAGGGACCCTTTGGCAGCAAGATCAAGCTTTTTGCCGAGAGTCAAAGATCAACCCAACAAGGGGAGAAATTCAAGTTCAGGAAGTTGGAAGTTTGGAGAACAACCCCGGTGGCCTCAACCTGGGCCTTGAACACCCAGGGCATTCACCAGGTACTGAGCAGCTCATACTTGTAAGGAGCTTTGATCTGCCTACGAAGTGAGGAGTAATAGTTCTAGTTCATGGAAACAGAAACAAGCTCAAGGGGCTCCGACTTCATGCCCGTGCCGCTTTGGTAAAGGATAGGACCTGGTTTGAATCCCGGTTGGTTGGATTCCAGAGCCATGGGTTCCCCCAGATTGCCCATTCCCTCATTCAACCTTATTGTTCCTTGGAGACTCAACCCCAAGGTCTTTGAGTTTCTTGAGCTGTTCTCACCAGCATTCAGAGAGGGCGGCTCAGCTCCCCAGCTCCTTCCCCACTGAAAGGTGCAGGGGCCCTCTGTGTTCAGTCTCGGTCTCCTGCCTCTCAGCCGCTTCCTCTTTGCTTGCCCCTCTTACTCCATTCTCTGGCCCCCCGACGAAAGCTGAGTCAGAAGCCGACGCTTCCCTTGGCTCCCAGCGCCTCCCATGGGAGCCCCTCCTTTGCGGCGCGTCCGTTAGTCACTCCCCAGTAAGTCCTCTCCCCCCACCCTCGAGGGGCGGGGAGCCCAGGGCAGCCCAGAGGCCAGGGGGGAGGGGGTGGACTTTTGGCCCGTTTGGTTTATTCCCTCCATCTCCTCGTCAACAGCTGCCGTGCGCTCTTGGCTCATTCCTCTGACGGACCTGCAGGGAAGCGAAGAGACCTGGGGAGAGGGCAGGAGACAAACCGGAGACGGACCTGGGCCACGGAAGAGGCCGAGGCTGCGGCCTGCCTCCCTCTCTCTCCCTCGCCTGCCTGGACCGCCCTCCTTGGCCACAGCCCCCTCAGGTTGCCCCGGGGCCCAGCCCCTCCCCGTCTCTGGGGCCCCAGGCTCCCCTCGGGGCCTGTGTCCCACCATGCCGGTGGCTGTGGAGACCTTCGGCTTCTTCCTCACAGCCGTGGGGCTGCTGACGCTGGGGGTAACCCTGGCGCACAGCAGCTGGAGAGTGTCCACTGTGCACGGGAACGTCATCACCACCAACACCATCTTCGAGAACCTCTGGTACAGCTGTGCCACCGACTCCATGGGAGTCCACAACTGCTGGGAGTTCCCGTCCATGCTGGCCCTCTCCGGTACGGGCTGGGGAGGGCCGAAGGGAGCAGAGGGAGGCGGGAGGCTGGAGAGACCCCGGGGAGGGTGGGCGCTGCCTGTGCTCGGACCTTGGGCGCCATACAGATGAGGGCAGCCAGACGCAGTGAGGAGACCTGCTTCCTGCAGCCAGGAGTGCTGGGGGCATCTCTCTGTCTGGAACTGCGGCAGAGGCCGCACCACACGTGGCCCCCTGCCCTAACATGACCCTCTGTCTTTGTGGCTACAAGTTCAGGCACGGGGCCTAGAGTGCCGGCCCCAGCACCTGCCGTGGACCTGCTCCGTGCCTCAGGCCTGATAAAATGAGCTTCATTTGACCCATCTGTTAAAATTTGGGTCAGAATGGCACCGGTTCACCTGGTGGTCATGAGGATTATGTGAGATGAAATGTGCAGAATGTTAATGCCAGGTTGGCATCTACGTTCACTCAATCAAATTGAGCACTATAGTTTTGGGGTGAGAGTGCTGGGGCTCATGGGGAGAAGAGGAAACCCCATCTTGGATTCCTGGGGGATGAGATACTTAGAAGTCTCAGTAACTGCACCAGGCTTCCACGGGGGCATTGACCTCACTGCCATGGCGAGCTCTAGAAGGCTGTTTTAAATGGAGTCCTCTTGCATGCTCAGTACCCACTGTAGTCAGGGGTGTGTGTGCGTATGTGTTTGGGGTTGTTAGTGGGCTGGAGCCTACAGCTCTTTTGGCCCCAAAAGGTCCTCCCTGGTGGCTGGAGCTCATGCTCTGAGCTGTACCCATCACTCCCCGACCCGGGGAGTCCTTCAGTCGGCCCCTTGCCAGGCCATGAGGGGATGAGTGCGCTGCAGCTCCCATGCCCTCACTGGGGGCTGCTGGAGCCGTCGTGCCCTTCCAGGTCCCCCAGCTTCAGGGGCCAGGTGGCAGGGGAAGGCGCTGAGGCCAGCACACCAGGAAACTGCCTCCCCAAGTATCAGAGATGCTATGAGCCGCTAGGGAGTCTGGGTGGGTCTCCCCTGCCCCTACTATTCCCAGGGTCTCCTGAGGCAGCTACAGGGGCTTCATGCTCTCATCCCATCCAGGACACCCCCCCCCAAAAATAAAAACTTCCATGAAAGCTGAGTACAAGCTGGGTCAGACACCAGAATCGGATGCCAGAATGCTGGGTGGGCACGAGGGACATTGGCTGCAGCCACTCAGCAGTGTGGTGTGAGGGGCCCCACTGGGACTGCTGCCGAGTGGGGAGGGCAGAGAGCACGCAGCTGGCCAGGGATACGGCTGAGGTTCCAGGCATCATTAGTGCTTCGCGTGCACCATTTCAATGCTGTTTACAGCCCCACCATTGGCAGTATTAGTAACCGCATCTTCCAGAAGCAAGAAAACTGCATGGTGACCTGCCCTGAGCCACCCAGGTGGTTGGGGGGCTGGAATTCAGAGCCAGCAAATACTTCGTTCCCAGGCTAGTTCTGGTCCTGGGAGGGGTCCTGTTACTTATTCGTGCTACAGCCACCCAGCTGCTTATGGCCCTTCAATAATGTCTCCTTATCTACAAGAGCTCCCTGGGGATCCGGAGCTGGTCTGCCCAGGTGGGGATGGGTGGGTGGGTGGGGTGGATGGATGGATAAGTAGGGGGAGAGGCTGGGGGAACTGCAGAGGAAGTGATGGGAAAGGAGAAAATGCTCCCAGGGAACTTTGCCCCTCCTCCCTGCCCCCCAACTCTGGGCCACTTCACATCTTCCTGGAAGGGGCCCAGCCTTTCCCCTTAAACACAGGTGGCGCTGCCCCACCCAGAGAAGGGGTGCAAGGTCCTTGGGAGCTCTTGGCAACTGTCGAGGACCGACGAGGAGAAAGGGGGCCCAGAAAGGGAGCTGCTGTTTCCTTCGGCTTTGAGGAAGGAGCATATGAGCTAGACTTGACTTGCACAGGTCCTAGGCCCAGGTATCCCACCTTCCAGATTAGAAGCTGCCACTGCTGCCCCCTATCGGTAACTCGAGGAAGAGGCTCGGTTCAGGATGTCAGGCACTGTGCTAAATGGGACCTAGTAGGTGTGAGGGAGGGGAGGGGTGCTTACAGAGTGTACTGTCTGTAATACCCAGCAGAGCATGGCGGTTCTCAACTAATGGTAGTTTTTTGACAATGTCTAGAGATTTTGATTGCCCTGTCTGGGGAGACTGCTATTGATGTCTAATGGGCAAAGGCCAAGGATGCTACTAAATACCCTACAGTGCAGGGACTTCCCAGGTGGTCCAGTGGTTGAGGTTCCGTGCTTCCACTGCAGGTGGTCACCAGGTTCGATCCCTGGTCGGGGAACGAAGATCCTGCACGCCAAGTAGTGTGGCCAAAAATTAAAAAAAAAAAAAAAATCCTGCAATGCAGAGTATGGCCCCCAGGACAAAGCATTATTGGCCAAAGTGTGTAAGTGGCGCTGAGCAGAAGTCTTGTAACAGAGGTAGAGGCAAAGTGCACATGGAAGAGAGGTGCACAAGGTCGAGAGGTGCGGAGGTGAGCTCCTGGGAAGGAGGGGGTGTGACCCCTCAGCCTGACCCCCTCAGATTGGATGGGGCCCGAAGGGGAAGGAGAGGACTTGAGGGCTTGTAGGGACTGAGACCCGAGCAGGTTACATCAGGGGCTGACTCTGTCATAGGCTGGAGAGCAGACGGAGGGGAAAGGGCCGGCTCTGGGACCCATGGCTGCGCCCCACCTCCCCAGGGTACATCCAGGCCTGCCGGGCGCTCATGATCACCGCCATCCTCCTGGGCTTCCTGGGCCTCTTCCTAGGCATGGTGGGGCTGCGCTGCACGAACATTGGGGGCCTGGAGCTCTCCAGGAAAACCAAGCTGGCAGCCGCCGCAGGAGCCCTACACATCCTGGCTGGTAACTGGGGCAAGTGATGGGCGGACCCTGCTCTGCAGTGGGCGGGAGTAGTACTGCAGTGGGGGTGGGGTGGGCAACCCAGACCCCACGGTTGCCTCACCTTCCCCTTTGCATTGACACCTGTCTGCTCTCCCTGCTTACCCCACCCTCACCCATACTCACCAAATCCCTTGGCTATAAATCAGTCCATCAGCAATGTTTCTTGAGCCTGCACTAGGAACCAGGCATGAGCGAGGTATGGGAGGGAATCCAAAGGTGAGAATTTCTGCCTTCCAGAGCTTACAGTCTGGCTGGGAAGATCAGAGCTAGGACGTTGCACACATGCACACACACACACTGTGCACAATAACAGTACCACAAGACTTGCCATCCCTTTTCAATTTGCAAAACATGTCTGTGCACATCCCCTCAACACGCCTGTGAGGTAGGGCAGGTCTTGTCCTGTTCTCCAGATGTGGACACAGGCTCAGAGAAGCCAGGTGGCTTACTGGAAGACGCGGCCCCAGGGGGCGGCCAGGCTGGACCTGTAGTCCAGGGGCCTGGCAGGCTTCAGGCCTTCATGAACCAAGCTGTGAGGAGCTGGCACCGCACCGAGGGCTCTGGGCGGCCCAGGAAAGGGGAGTCAGAGCAGGCAGGCTGATCAGGGAAAACTGTTTGGGCTTTCGAGAATGGACAGTAGCTGGTGAGCAGATTCCTAGTGCAGAAACTGTGGTCCAGGCACTAGAGGTAGGAGGGACAGGGCAGGTGTGGGATAAACAGTGGGAATGGGCTGAGGAGCAGAGTGGGAGACTAGACAAGAAAGGGGGGCTGCAGTGTATCCCGGGTGTTGGATGGAGTAGCCTGCAGTTGATGCAGGAAACAGAAGTGAGGAGCTGGCGAGGGGAAATGAAAGGGATCCGATGAAGCTTGCTCTTGGACTTGATGCCCATGTCCTTTCTCTGGGCCGCCCCTTCCTCCGCCAGGCCTAGCTGGGTTCTCCGGTTCCTCCCCCAGGTATCTGCGGGATGGTGGCCGTCTCCTGGTACGCCTTCAACATCACCAGGGACTTCTTCGACCCCTTGTACGCTGGAACCAAGTGAGTGTGGGGGACGGCGGGTGGGTCTCGGTGTGATTCCCGAGCTAGCGCCGCCTGCTCACTGTCCTCGTCCCCAGGTACGAGCTGGGCCCTGCCCTCTACCTGGGCTGGAGCGCCTGCCTGCTCTCCATCCTGGGCGGCATCTGCCTCTTCTCCAACTGCTGCTGCTCTCGGGACTGGGACCCCGCCGCCGGGTAAGTGGGGGGCATGCCGCGAGGTCGGAGCGCGGGTCGAGCGCCGCACCTCCCTCTGACCCGGGTTCTCTCCCCCGCCAGCGCCCAGCTACCCTACAAGGCCCCCGTGATATCGGCCGCCAGCCTCGCTGCCCGCCTGCCCGCCGCAGCCTCGGATGAAGAGGGCGACAGCAGCTTCGGCAAGTACGGGAAGAACGCTTATGTGTAGACGGCCGGGCCTGTGGACCCATTCCCTTCCCACTGCCCCCAGTGGAGAGGGGTCCCCGGAATACCGGGGCTGCGGGCGCGGGCCCCAGCTCCAGGTTATCAAGTTCAGGGCCAAGCCACGCTTCAGGCTCCGCCCCCTGCCCGGAAGCCACACCCAGCTCTGGCCTCAGGCCCCGCCTTCCCACCGGAGCTCCGCCCTGGCCACGCCTCTTTCCTCCGGTTCTCTGGATCCTCCGCGGCCAAGAACCGGCCTCCTGAGAACTCATCTCTGGCCTCTGAGGCTGGACCCCTCTTAACCTTCTGAGTCTAGGTTCTGGGCCATTAAGCAGGGGGAGGCGTCCCCGAGTGTTTGCAGTCTGTATAAATTCATGCATAAATAAACTTGTGAACTGTTGAGGGGTTGAAGGTGTCATGAGGCAGTTGACCCAGCAAGGGGTGGCTGAGGCAGCACCCAGGGTCACTTCAGTTCCTGGACCCCCGGCTGTCACCTGTCCACTGCCTTTGGACTGTCTCATCTGGCAGAGGAAAGGAGTTGCAAGTAGTTTGTAGAGTGTGGCATTCTCACAACTACTGATAACGCCCAATAAGGAGCAGATAAGGACCGAATAGCAGAGATACCCTCTGGCCAGACTGATAACAAGTCACTCCTTTTACTCTGGACCTTTCTCACAGCTATATGAGGAGATGATTGGTCTAGAGTTTCTTTACCTGGACCTGAGAGTGGATATCAGAAATTTGACAAGCCCTTTGAAATGGTGTCAAGTCAGCCAGGCCTGGAGCAAGTACGTTTTTCTGGGGATGGTTCAGTAACTTCCAGAAAAGGCACTGGAGGTCTGTTCAGAGGCCTGTGTATTGGTGGTGTGTGTGTGTGACTGAATGGTATCCAGCTCAGATGTGGCTACAGGGCCATGGGCATGCTTGGCACAGGCCCAGCCAGCACTGAGCAGAGCCGGTACACACTTGATGCAGGAAACTGAGGCTGAGGGAAAGAAGCCTGGCATCCAGTGTTAGGAGCAGAGAGCAGGGTCTACCCTAGCACCCATCCCCTGTCGTGCTGCGTACAGCAATGAGTCCCTTGGCTGTGGCGTGGCTCTTGACCTTCCTTTGGTCCCATCTGCTCACCCGCACTGACTTTCTCCTGGGATGTAGAGACCTCCCACACCTGCGTTCTAACTGGGCCCTCTCTCCTGAGCTTCAGGGGTCGTGCAGCCCTCGAGTGTTTTCACCAGGCTGGGTGAATTCATCACTTTCCCCCCAAATCACAGTTTCTGCCAGGCCAAACTCTTGAGTCTCACAGACTGACCACCTCAGTCCTCTCTGGCTGCTCCCTTCACTTCCTCTTCACCACCTCCCCTCAGATGGCAGCCAAATCCTATCAATTCTCCCTCCATAGAGCTTTCCACTTCCACCTAGTTCTCCCCCTTGTCCCGCCTGGTACTGGGTCCAGCCCTCATCTCCAGACTCTAATGTTAGAGAATCCCCCTAAGTGAGCTTTGTGACCCAGTTCCCATTTCTCCCTATTCGTCATCCTGCCCTGGCAGCACCCTGGTGCCTCAGGAAAAAGGCAAAACAAAGACAATCACACCTTGACACACTGCCTGGCCCTAGCCTAACTTTTTTTTTTCTTCCATTTATTTTTATTAGTTGGAGGCTAATTACTTTACAACATTGCAGTGGTTTTTGTCATATATTGAAATGAATTAGCCATGGATTTACATGTATTCCCCATCCCGGTCCCCCCTCCCACCTCCCTCTCTACCCGATCCCTCTGGGTCTTCCTAGTGCACCAGGCCCGAGCACTTGTCTCATGCATCCAACCTGTAGCCCAAAGATTTAATCTGGCTGCATCATGTCTTAGTTGCCACACTCCACACTCGTGGGCTCTTTATTGCAGCAAGTTGGCTCCTCTCCAGCTGTGGCACACCACCATAATTGCCCTTCGGCATGTGGGATGTTAGTTCCCCGACCAGGGATTGAACCTTCGTCCCCAGCATTGGCAGACAGATTATTAACCTCTGAACCACCAGGGAAGTCCCTAGCTTGCCTTTCTATCCCCATTTCTTACTATTCCCCCATATATCTGTGGTCTCCCAGCAAGCTGGACTGCTCACGTGGACACACATTTGAATCAGGGCTTCCTACTGGGTTCCACCCAGAACACAGGCTTTCCATGCTATTCCCTCCCTGCCCCTTCCCGCCCACACTCTGCTTTCATACCATTTGTGGCTGTCCCCAGGCCAAGTCCAAAGTCCACGTGGAAGGGACTGTACAGAAACATAGACACTGGGAATCGGGTTTCACGCAGGCCCTCAGTGTAACAACCTACTGGACAGGCCCTGGGCCACGTGATGCTGACCTGCCTCTTCTCACCCCTTCCCCCTTTCAGGAAAACCAACCTGAGCCAAGTTTCACACTCGAGCCTTGACTATGTGCCTTCATATGACCATGGGTTTAAGTTTTGGTTTCTTTGTCCATCAAGCAGGGTCACATGGCTATAAAGGGCTGTTGAACTACTTTTTAACATTATTTCCTTCTTTGCTAGAAGCTACAGAAGCAAGATCTGGTCCTTGCCCTCAGAGAACTCACAGGCTGGGAGCAGACAGAAATACAGACAGCTAGTTACCATGTAATGGGCAAGGTGCTACAGCTGCTTATTCCAAGAAGCCTCTGATTTCTGAGGAACTGGCTATGAAAAAGCTCAACAACAAACTGCTTAGGTCTTGGGTAATGATGTCAATAGCTGAGCACTCACCGAACACCAGGCACTGGGCCTGGTACAGTCTCTAGTCCTCCGATTTCTGGGAGGTGGCTGTAACAGAGTCGGAGAGGCAAAGTGATCTGTCCAACCTTGTAAGCGGCACTAATAATTAGTAGTATAGTAAAGTGAAAGTGTTAGTCGCTCAGTTGTGTCTGACTATTTGCGGCCCCATGGACTGTAGCCCACCAGACTCCTCTGTCCCAGGGGATTTCCAGGCAAGAATACTGGCATGTGTAGCCATTTCCTTCCCCAGGGGATCTTTCTGACCCAGGGATTGAACCCAGGTCTTCCACTTGCAGGCAGATTCTTTACCATCTGAGCCACCAGGGATTTCCCAAAGATCCAGGTGTTTCCCAAGGTGGGGAACAAGTCTCCACTAGTACACAGGAAGCTGGCAAAAATTGCTCAAGATTTTCCTTGAGGAATTATGGTTTTAAATGAGGGTCTGGAGATCCTTCCTAGAAAAGATCAATAAATGACTTGTAGAGCCAGTCAGCATGAGGAGGCCCCTGGGATCCTATCAAGGCCAGCAGAGGCAGACTTGAATGTGTCAGAGTAGACCAATCTTACACCATGTGGAACAACAAAATATGAATCAAAGTCAGTACACTTAGGAAACAGACCAAGGAGACTGTGCTGACTCAGCAGCAATCGGACAGGAAATCCAAAGCAGGAGATCACAGTGAAGCATAGGAGGTGTTCCTCAGTCAAGAAATAGTCATGTCTTTTTTTTGGTCACACCGTGCACCTGTGGGATCTTAGTTCCCTAACCAGGGATCGAATCTGGGGCCCAGCAGAGTGAAAGCACCGAGCCCTAACCACTGGATCGCCAGGAAATTCCCTTTATTTTCTTTCTTGAGTGCACTTCTTGGCGGAGAGGAAAACAGAAAGGTTAGGATCCAGGAAAGTTTCCCTGCCTGAGAACAAGATAATTAATCTAGGCCAAAGAAACAGCAGCCAGTAGACTGAATCGCTGATGTCCCAGTTACTACTGCTGTCTAATCAACCATCCCAAGGCTCAAAGGCATAAACCGTTTTATTATACACATGGATCCTGTAGGTCAGGAATTTAGAGCAGAGATGGCCAGTGTCTGCTCCAAGATGTTGAGGACACAGCCAGGAAGACTCAAATGGGTGAGGGTGAGTTGATGTCTGGGGTTTGGAATCATCAGGAAGCAGCTTCACTCCTATGATGGAAGCCTGGGCTGGGATGGCTTGAAGGCTTGCTCACCTGGACCTGTCAACGGAAGGACCTGCACACAGTGGGCTTCCTCACAGCATGGCAGCTTCAGGATGGCCGGATTTCTTACAAAGCAGCCGAGGGCTCCAAAGGCAAGTGTCGAGGGATGGGGCAGAAGCTGCACTGCCTTTTACCACCTGGCCTTTCATGTCCCATGATCACTCTTCTACCACTGTCTACTGGTCCAAGCAGTCGTTAAGTCTGACCAGATTCCAGGGGAAGGTGACCGACAGCCACTTTTTGATGCTTGAAGGATGGTAAAAAAATTTACAGCCATTTCTGAAAACCACCACGCTGAGGACTGTCTCCTAAACCCTGTCCTTACCACCATTCAACATGACGCTGTCACCCAATACCACTTGCCCAACCACCAGTATCCAGGAGAGCGAGCAAGCAACTTCCCAAGAAGAGACTGGTAACACCTGGCGAGAGTGTCCAATCACAAGGAAGTCCCCAAAAGCGGGCTGAAGAGCCTAAGAAGGCCCCTGACACCAACCTGGCTGGATCTCATTAATAGCTTATTGAAATAACCTGTGTCACAGATATTTCCTACCCATCTGCCTTGCTATGTTGCAACAAGGTACTGAGCCTGAAGACAGCCACTCCGAGGCATTTTTGAGCTCATGGCTTATAATCCACTTAAGAGAAGGTGTGGGTGCAAGAAGCTCTAGTGCCACAATGTTATATCAGTAGCATCAGGGCCACTAAGAACAGAGGCCTCTGTATCATGAACTCCGATGCTTCCCAGAAATGTCTGGGTTTTCTCTACTACTAATAAATCACACACCACAGTCCATGATAAGACAGGCTTCCTAAGGACAACTCAGATGGGCGGCACCAAGGACAAGGGCCCAGTCTCTCCCCTTCGGGTAAGAATCAGAGACAAAGCCAGGGCTGGCTCCTTCTGTGTTACCCTTCTATTTCCGAGTCCCCAGCCCTCACTCCACTTCCCCATCACCAGTCCTGGGACTCAAAATACACTCAGAAGAACTAGACAAACAAAATGCAAAAAAAAAAACACAAAACTAGATCAATAACCAAAAAAAGTGACAAAAAGCAGCAGCCAAGAAACACAAAGACATAGGGGTGGCGGAAGAATAGGACAGCATCTTTCTTGGTCAGGGACCCAGAGGGGCAGACAGTGAGAGGAGTGATTGACAGGTAGGCAGAAAAGACACAGAGTAGCGAGTTCGGGAAACAAGGGACCCACCAGCCTCACCCCCAAAATCCCACAGAACCAACCGGGCAGGCTCCTCCTCGCAGGAGACCTTTTATTACAACTGCACTCTGAGGGCTCAGGCACCGCCCTGCCTCCAGCCCTGGAAGCAAGGCTGGTCTCCCTGGAGGACAGGACACGGGCTTTGCTGGGCTGCCCTCCTGGTCCGGGAGAAGCATCTTTTCTTTCGGTGATACTCTCTCCGAGGCCGGGCAATGCACAGGATCTTCCTCTCTGGGGACGCCCAGGGTCACACGGTCCACTTCAGGCACCTGCAGGCAGAGGAAGCCCTGGATGAAGAGAGGGTCCCCAGGCTACTGGAGGGAGGAAGGGGAGGGTGTGGACCCGGGGGAGGCCCCTCTCACCTGGTCTCCTGGTGGGTGCCCAGACAGCGCACAGTACAGTACCGGGCACCGCAGCTGACACAGGTGTAGGGGGAGGGGAAGCCGCAGACAGCACAGAAGGGGCGCTGGGGCCGGGATGGGGGTCCCGCACAGGCCGTCAGGTAGTTAGGACCCTCCGCCACACTCAGGTTCTGCAGAGACAAGGGGGCGGGGCTGGCTCTGACTGCTCCACCCACCCAGGGATCCCAGCAGGTGCATTCCTGCCCCGTGGAGTCCTCCCAGCCAGCTCCTCTCACCTGCTCCTCCAGCAAGGCCTGGAAGTTTTTTCGGAAGCGGAGCTTAAAATGATCACCTCGTGTTTTCTTCTTTTTCTTTCCTAGAGGTCAAGGGCAATGAGTTACTTGGCCCTCACCCAGGAAGACACAAGCTTCTCTGCCCCACCGTTCCCAATGCCCCCGTGTCCGTTCCCTGCCCAGGTGCCTGCCAGGTTCTAAGCTGGCCTCTCTCTACCATCCTTCCCCACCTCCCACGTCTCCAACCTGAGCCTTCCTCCATCTCCACACTCCCGATACCTAGAGCTCCGTGTTGAAGACAATCTCAAGGGCTCATCTGCCCGGGCTTCTTTATTCTACACACAGGAAAGGAAACTGAGGCTCAGACTGGGAGAGGGCTTGGGTCAAGGCAGCCAGAGGAGCTCCCAGTAAGCTGGCATCCTTACACAACCCTGACCCGGCCAGGCTCTTCCCTCTTCCTGCAGCCTTGCCTCCCGACCACCACCCCCCAACTGGCACCCCCTTCTTCCTCCACCCGCCTCACCAGTGTCTGCGTCGTCATCAAACTGAGGCAGCCGCTTGCCCAGCTGGGGGAGGCCCGCGTGGGGGTCGTCCTGGAAGTTGTCATTCTCCAAGGCCTCGAGCTGCCTGTTGATGCGGCGCTGCCGGGCTGCCCGATCCAGCACCCGTCGCTGTCCAGGGTCCTGGGAGCGAACTAGATGGGACAGGGCCACAAGAGTTACAGGGGCAGAGAAGAGAGACGTTGGGTGGCCTCGGCTCTGGGCCATGGGTGGAAGGAAGATGTCCAGGGGGTGGGAGCCACAGTTCTCTGATCTCACCCTAGTCCCCAAACCCTTGGCCCCTGGATCTCCTCCAAATATATCACCCATTTTGGCTGCTTCCTTTTCAGTCACCTAAGGCTGCTGTTTCAGTCATTCATGCCTGGTTTCCATCCTTTTGGCCCCATCCTTTCCTCCCAATCCCAGACCTGGTCAGTGAAATGTCTCCTGGAGACCTCTCACTGCTGGCGGAAACCACACAACCATGCCGGTGGAGACCACAGTGCACTTGGGTTTTTCCAGGCGCCAGTGGGACCTTGTTGTGAGTGCAATCTTATTTCCCACCTCAAAGGACAAGGCGCCATGCAGAGATGCTTATCCATCAGCCCACCCTCAATCATAACTGCACGGGTACCCCCATCTCCTTCCATTCTAAGTGGATGCACCCACAAGTCCCACTGCTAAACCCAAATCCTTCACTCCGAGTTCAAGTCTTCCCCCTCCCTTGCATCTTCAACACCCCCACCACCCACTCAACTGGTACTTTCCCCTCCATAGCAAAACCTGCTCAATTCTCATTTGTCTAACTTCACAGCCACTCTGCTGTGAGAGCGCAGTCCATGTGATGTTTTATTTGCTTATCTCTCTTCCACTCCAAACTCACCCCCAGCAAACCAACTCCCACTCAATGGGAACCAGTCACTCAGGACAGCTGATGTAATTGATAAATAGGTGTGAGTTCTGGCTGCTCTACCAGTCAGCTGTCCCAAGCTAGCAGAGGTTGGTTCGTGAGGTTTAAGGAAAGAAGCCTTCGCCATAACATTAAAGTGCAAAGTGATACAACAAGTGCTGGCATAGAAGCTACAGCAAGAACGAGCTAAGGGAGCTCCCTGGTGCTCCAGTGGTTAGAACTCTATGCTTTCAGTGCTGTGGGCCCAGGTTTGATCCCAGGCTGGGGAACTAAGATCCTGGGTGCTGCATGGTCTGGCCAAAAGAAGAAAAATCAGAAGAGCTAGCCAAGACAATTAATGAAGGTGGCTACATTAAACAACAGACTTTCAGTGTAGACAAAACTGCCTTCTATTAGAAGAGGCCATCCAGGACTTTCCTAGCTAGAGAGGAGAAGTCAATCCCTGACTTCAAAGCTTCAAAGGATAGGCTGAATCTCTTGTTGGGGGCTCAAGTGGCTGATGAATTTAAGTTGAGGCCAGTGCTCATTTATCATTCTGAAAATTCCAGGCCCTTAAGAATTAGGCTAGATCTACTCTGCCCTTGCTCTATAAACAGAACAACAAAGCCTGGATGACAGCACATTTGTTTATAACATAGTTGACTGAATATTTGAAGCCCACTGTTGATACCTACTTCTCAGGAGAAAAGATGCCTTTCAAAATATTACTGCTCATTGACAATGCACCCAGTCACTCAACAGCTCTAATGGAGATGTACAACAAAATCAATGTTGTTTTCATGCCACAGTAACCATTCTGCAGTCCATGAACCAAGGAGTAATTTTGATTTTCAGGTCTTATTATTTAAGAAAGGTATTTCATAAGGCTATTGCTACTACAGATATGATTCCTCTGATGGAGCTGGGCATAGTTCATGGAAAACCTCCTGGAAACGATTCAGAATTCTAGATGCCATAAAGAACATTTGTGATTCATGGGAGAGGGAAAAAATATCAACATTAACTGGAGTTTAGAAGAAATGGATTCAATCCTCAAGGATGACTGAGGAAGTAACTGCAGATGTGGTGGAAATAGTGAGAGATCTAGAATTAGAAGAGGAGCCTGAAGATGTGACTGAATTGCTGCAATCTTATGACACAATTTTCATGTATGAGTCAAGAAAATGGTGCTTAAAATGGAAACCACACCTGGTGAAGATGTTGTAAAGATTGTTGAAATGACAACAAATGATTCAGAGTATTACATAACTTAGTTGATGTAAAACCCTGGCAGTGGCAGGGTTTGAGAGGGTGAACTTCAATTTTGGAAGAAGTTCTACTCTGGATAAAATGCAATCAAGCAGCATTGCAGGCTACCGAGAAATCCTTCATGAAAGGAAGAGTCAACTGATGTGGCAAACGTCACTGCTGCCTTATTTTAAGCAATTGCAACAGCCCCCCAGCCTTCAGCAACCACACCCTGATCAGTCAGCAGCCATCACAGTGACGCAAAACCCTCCAACAGCGAAAAAAAGTTACAATGTGCTGAAGCTTGAGATGATGGCTAGCATTTTTTAGCAATAAGTATTTTTAATTAAAGCATACACAGGGACTTCCCTGGTAAGCCAGTGGCTAAGACTCTGTTCTTAGAACGCAGGAGGCCCCGGGTTCGAATGCTGGTCAGGGAACTACTAACAGACCCCACATGCCACAAGCAAAAAATAAAAGAAAGATCCCACATGCCACAACAAAGACCCAATACAGCCAAATAAATTAAAAAAATTTTTTAAAAATAAAACATATATATTGTTTTAAGACATAATGCTATTGCACACTTAATTGACTATAGTGTAAACATAATTTTTATATGCAATGGAAAATTGAAAAATTGGTGTGACTCAACTTTATTGTGATACTCACAATCATGGTGGACGAGAATCAAGCCTGCGTATCTGAGGTCTGACTGTACTAATCTTTACATCAACCCTCTGAGACAGGTATCACTATCATCCCCAGTTTACTGGAGCTCAGAGGTTAAGAAACCTGTCCAAAGTTCACACAGCTAATAAGCAGCTCCTGGGTCAGAATTCAAACCCAGAACTGCCGAGCATCAAAAAAAATCCTCTTGATCACTGTACTATACTGCCTCCCTTTCTAGTACCAGGCGGTGCCCTGGGTTCTGGGAATACAACCAGAGTTTAACATCAGGTGGGGGATATAAATGATCAAATCAACAAGCACAGTGCAGGACAGTATATGCTAGGACGGGAAAGTGCAAAGTACTATGAAACACATGACAGAAACACATAACCTATTCCTGGGGTGTGTGTTAGTCACTGTGTCGTGTCTGACTCTTTGCGACCCTATGGACTGTAGCCCACCAGGTTCCTCTGTCCATGCAATTCTCCAGGCAAGAATACTGGAGTGGGTTGCCATTTCCTTCTCCAGGGAATCTTCCCAACACAGGGACTGAACCTGAGTCTCCTGCATTCCAGACAGATTCTTTACCGTCTGAGCCACCAGGTCTTGGGATAGTCAGGAAGATTTTCCAAGGGAAAGTAAGTCTAAGTTGACGCCTGACTGATGAACAGAAGTTAGCCTGGTTGGAGGAGGGGAAGGTGTCTTAGACATTGGTACCAGCATGAGAGAAGGCCTGGACGAAAGACTGCAGTGTCATCAATACATTTTTTAAAGTTCTATATGGCTGGTATTATAAAGTATGTGGGCAGGGGATATGAAGTCAGGCAGACCATTAAGAATCTTACCTTTAAATGTCTAAATGAATTTGGACTGGGGAATTATATTTTATTTTTTGGCTGTGCTGCAAGGCTTGTGGAATCTTAGTTCCCCAACCAAGGATGGAACCCAGGTCTCGGCAGTGAAAGGGTCAAGTCCTAAGGGTCCATTCCACTGGATCGCCAGGGAATTTCCTGGGCTTGGGGACTTTATGGTGAGGGTGACAGAGATCCCGTGAGGGGTGTTAAGAGGACATGACTGGATTTATTACAAGTTAATCTGGCAGATTGCTCCCACCCTCATCACTTTTTATCTGGATTACTCAATAGCTTCCTAACTGGCCTTCCAATCTCTAGACCTGTGCTACACAATAAAGCAGCCACTAGTCACATAAGGTTATTTTCGTTTAAATGTAGATTAATTAAGATGTAATAATTAAAATGCATGAAATTTTAAATTAAGTGCTCAATCTAACCAGCCACATTTCAAGTGCTCGATAGTCACAGGCAGCTATTGGCTGCCATACTGAATAGTGCTGATTAAAAACATTCCCATCATCCCAGAAATTTCTACTGGACAGCGTGGCTGTAGCCCCCCCAATCCACCCTCTGCACTTAAGTCCTTTTCTAAGAGATAAATTTGTTTGCGTCAATCCCCTGCGTTAAAAGCCCTTGAAGGCTCTTCACTGCCCTCTTTATAGAGCTTAAACTCGTCAGCAGTGTTTAAAATGCCTTTCAAGGGTACCTTTCCCTTGTCCTCCAGCCTCTCTCTCCTCAAGCCCGGGAACTGTGAACTTGGTTTCCTAAGCGATCTACGTTTTCTTGCTCTCCTACCTTGGCGCGTGCGATTACCACCGCAGGGAAGGAGTCCCCACGCACTTGCACGGAGCGAAACCGTAACTTTCAAGACACAGTCCAAGCGTTTTCTTTCCCTCCAAGCCTTCCCTGTCCCCTCCTTCCCAGAAGCTGGGGTGGATGCCACTCCTTCCTGAGCCCAGGCGCTTTGCATCCCTCTACCATAGCACGTATCACTCTGAAACGCAATGGTAGGTCTGCGTGTCTGCCCCGCTCCCGGAAAGCCAGTTCTTAGACGCGAAGGGTCTTTCTTCTTTCTTCATCCCCAGCAACCGGTTTGCAGCACGCATGAACAAAACGTGAACGGAAGGGAGCTGCCCCGGGTTTAGGGGGCTGTCAGTACCCGAGCGCCGGGGGAGGGATTTGAAACTAATAACCGGGTGAGGGAATCCTAGGCCAGGTTCGAATCTGAGAGGAAGAGAGTGGGCCAACAGCCACAGGCTGACTTACCCGAAGTTTTCTTCTCCACCATTTCCACAACACAGCTGCGAGATGGGCCTATTGCGCACGCGTGCTAAATCACGTGCTGTGGGTCGTAGCATCAAGACATCCGGCGACGAGTGCTCCTGCGCGTGCGCGGAGTCATCCCACAGGTTTTTTTTCTTTTTTTTTACTAATTACGCGGTGTTCCCTTGGAGACCAGTAAGCTTTCCGCCATGTTTTTTACGGGCAAAACTACTTCCGGCCTCGGTGCAGCTGTGTTATTTCAGAACCCCCGAAATGGGTCATTTTAAAGAAACGGTGCCAGCGATCTTTCAAGAAACGTCATTTTCCTTTGGCCTTTCCGAACGTAGAATCATCACAGAAGCAGCCCCTGGAGCGCCTCCCCCGAGCCGTGGAGATGATGGGCCAGAGTAGCGAAAGAAAATGGGCAGGCTTGAGTGGGAAGTCCCAGAGGATCCTCTGCCAAAACCTCAATCCCTATCCCTCCTGAGGCTGCAGCCTCCCAGGCCTTCTCCGTCCGTGCCGCCGTACCCGCTCAGTGCAGCCCCACCGCCTAGTTCTCCGGGTCTTCCGCCCGGCTGCTCCAGGCTGGGCTGTGGCAAAGACCCGCCTCCGCGTCCTGCCGGACCCTCAAGGGGTCACTTCCCCTCTCCGCGTTTCAGTTTCCTCAAGTGTTAGGCTGGCAGGGGGCCGGGCTGGCTCTAAAAGAACCTCGGCTCGGGATCGCCAGCCGCAGTCCCTGCCCTTCCCCCGCCTCCGGGCTGGGCGCCCCCGCCGCTCGTACGGCTCTGCCGGCGGCCCGGGACAATCCTCGCCTTGTCTAGGCATCTGGAGTTTTCTGTAACCTCCGGCTACGCCTTTTTTTTTTTCACCCCCAGGGCGGAGCCCCAAATGGGCTCCTCCTAGCTGCTGGCCGTACGGCAGCCCCGGTCCTTTTTCTGAGAGCCCCTCTCCCGAGTTGGGATCCAAGGCAGACAGCCAGAGCCGGGTGCGGGCCTGTGTGCAGCTCGGCCCGCTCTCCGCCATGGCCTCGGGCCCGGCATTCCGGCCCCTGCTGCTACTGTCGCTACTGCTGTCTCCGTCTCCTGCCGCCTCGGCCTCAGATCGACCCCGGGGCAGCGATCCCGTCAACCCAGGTGAGAACCCCGGGAGGAACGACCGGCCCTGGGCTGACGTGTCTGCGGGCTTGGGCCGGGGAGGGGGATCTAAGCTGGCCTCTCCCTCGGTGAGCGGGCTCCCGAGGGCTGAATCACACGGTGCCTCGCCCAGAACTGGGGTTTCTAGCCACCCACCCCCCCACCCCTTTCGCGCACTGACCGCGAATTTCTGAGTGTTACTAGCATTCCGTTCTCACTGGGGTTGGTTTCCCTGAATCGGAATAATTTAGGAAGGGATAAGGGAAAAGAGATTGGGCTTCCCGGTGACTCAGACGGCAAAGAATCCGCCTGCCATGGGGGAGACCTGGGTTCGATCCCTGGGTCGGGAAGATCCCCTGGAGAAGTGAATGGCAACCCACTCCAGTATTCTAGCCTGGAGAATTCCATGGACAGAGGAGCCTGGTGGGCTACAGTCCATGGGGCGGCAAAGAGACAGACACGACTGAGCGACTAACACGCACACGAGGACAGGAGCAGCGTGGAGTGGGGGGGGGGAGGGGTGGTCGGTGAGCTGAGCGCATGGGGCAGCAAGCTGGGTGCTGAGTCCCGCCTGGTGACAGAGAAGCTGCTGGTGATCACCGTGGCCACAGCCAAGACAGAGGGATACCGGCGTTTCCTGCAGTCAGCGGAGTTTTTCAACTACACTGTGCGGGTGAGGAGAGGAAACCCCTCCTGGGCCCCTCGAAGGGGTGGGGGTGGCGTCTAACCCCCCACCCAGAGTGGGCCAAGGGCTGAATGCCTGGGACCCTCCGGTGAGCCTGGTCAGGGCGATGCGCCCACCTGGCCACCTGAGACCCTCCCTGGCATTCTGGGTCTCCTCCACAGACCCTGGGCCTGGGAGAGGAGTGGCGAGGGGGTGATGTCGCCCGAACGGTGGGTGGAGGACAGAAAGTCAGGTGGCTCAAGAAAGAAATGGAGAAATACGCAGAGAGGGAAGATATGGTCATCATGTTTGTGGACAGGTAAAGGGGAGGGGGCGGGCAGAAAGGGAGTGGATAGGGCGATTCCTAGTGGCCGTCCTCCTCATCGTCCCCTGCCTTCCCCAGCTATGACGTGGTTCTGGCTGGCAGCCCTTCGGAGCTGCTGAAGAAGTTCGTCCAGAGTGGCAGCCGCCTGCTCTTCTCCGCAGAGAGCTTCTGCTGGCCCGAGTGGGGGTTAGCAGAGCAGTACCCTGAGGTGGGCACGGGGAAGCGCTTCCTCAACTCTGGTGGTGAGTGGCAGAGGGTCCACCAGTGGTGGGGAATGGAGCATCCCAGGTGCTTGAGGGCGGGTGAGGGAGTGGGGACCGGCCCTGGGACACTGGGGAGTCTGGGAGTCAGCACATCCTCTCCCCACACCCAGGATTCATTGGCTTTGCCCCCACCATCCACCAAATCGTCCGCCAGTGGAAGTACAAAGATGACGATGACGATCAGCTCTTCTACACTCGGCTCTACCTGGACCCAGGACTGAGGGTAGGGAGAGGTTGAGGAGGTTTCGTTCCCCCCACAGCTCTGAGGGGGTAGCAGGCCCTGAGGAAAAGGGTCAAGAGGCTTTCAGAAAGACAGAGGAAAGAGTGGGAAGAGACGTCTCAGCCCCTTCTTTAATTCACTGCCCCCACCTCATCCCATCCAGGAGAAACTCGGCCTTAGTCTGGATCATAAATCGCGGATCTTTCAGAACCTCAACGGGGCTTTAGGTGAGGAGACAGCAATGAGAGAAGGGGCGATGAGAGAGGCTGTTGGGGGTCCTGAAAGTGGGCGGGGCTCCTGGTACAACTGGGGTGAACTTCAGCTCACCTCTGTGTTAACTTCAGCAAACGTCTGAATGGCTCACAGAGTAAGGTGCACCCTGCTTCCAGGAGAGCAGCAGCCCCTGTTGTACATGTCCATCGCTCCGTGCCAGGCTCTGGGTCAGGGTTTTTCTTCTTTAATTTCATTGAACACAACAGTCCTACGAAGGGCGGGTCTGTGATTATCCACCGGTTACAGATGGGGAAACCACCTCCCTGAGGGGCCAGAGACTTCCCCGAGGTGCACAGGTAGTAAGTGGTGGGGCTCCCCAGGTGGAAGCAGCCTGGCCAGTGCCCTCGGAGAGAGACATTATCCCATCCCTGCCCCATGGACCACGATCCTTCATCCTCTAGAACACCTGGGTACCTCCCCGCCCCACCACCACCACCTCCACCGTATTTAGAAGCACTTGCTGATTGGCAGTTTCTAGAGTAAGGGAGTCTAATGCCTGGACCTTCTTCCCCAGATGAGGTGGTTTTAAAGTTTGGTCGGAATCGAGTGCGTATCCGGAATGTGGCCTACGACACGCTTCCTGTTGTAGTCCATGGGAACGGCCCCACCAAGGTGCTCCAATCTCGCCTCCCCTCAGCCCAGCCCCTGCCCCAGTCAGCCCCGGCCCCACAGCCCCCAGCTTCCTCCAGCCCTTCCGAGCCGTGAGACCTCCCCGGCCCCAGACGCACAGGAGCTGGGAGAGCTTCTCCGTGCCCACGCTCCCCCGCCCCTCTCCGGTCCCCGCCCCCACCTCCCTCACCCCTGGCCCCGGCCTCTCACCGCCTCTGCCAACAGCTCCAGCTGAATTACCTGGGAAACTACGTCCCCAACGGCTGGACTCCCGAAGGAGGCTGTGGCTTTTGTGACCAGGACCGGAGGCCACTCCCGGGGGGGCAGGTGAGGAGGGGGTGCCAGGGTGGCTGAGTGGGTGGGAGAGCACTCTGAAGTAGAGGGTGCCAGGAAGGTGCTGGGCAGCAGGGCTGGAGGCAAAGCCCCTGGAGACCCCCCACCCCCCACTAAGCCTGGCAGGGTGCGGAGGACAGGCTGGGTAGGGGGAGCCGGGCTTTCCCCTGAGCCCCATCACGTCGTCATCGTATCTTCCAGCCTCCCCCCCGGGTACTTCTGGCCGTGTTTGTGGAGCAACCTACCCCGTTCCTGCCCCGCTTCCTCCAGCGGCTGCTACTCCTGGAGTACCCCCCCGACAGGGTCAGCCTCTTCCTGCACAACAACGTGAGACGCCCTGACCTCCAGCCTCTCCCTCCCAAGGGACCCCCTGCCCCGCTGCCCCGATCAGACCTCTCCCCACACCCCAGACTCCTTCCTGCAGCCTTCCTCCTGCAGGAAGTGTTCTTCCCGCCCCGTCCTGCCCCTTGGATGCCATCTTTTCTGCCCTCTCAGTGCCCCCCCCCCAATCTCGTCTCCCCGCACCTCCAGGAGGTGTACCACGAGCCCCACATCGATGACTCCTGGCCCCAGCTCCAGGACCACTTCTCCACTGTGAAGCTGGTGGGGCCTGAGGAGGCCCTGACCCCAGGAGAGGCCAGGGACATGGCCATGTGAGTGAGCCTCGGGCAGGGCGGGGGAGCCTCCGCCCGAACCTTTCCCACCCTTCCCCTGCTCCCCGTGATCTTTTTTTTTCCCTCCTGACTTCCAGCTGCTCAGCTTCCTTCTACTCACTTTCCCTCTCCTCTTCTCCGCGGGTCGGGGGAGTTCCACCCCCTGCTCAGCCCCCGCCTCCCCCTTCCTGCTCCTGCTCATCTGTTTTGGTCTGTCCCCTCCAGGGACATCTGCCGGCAGGACCCCAAGTGTGAATTCTACTTCAGCCTGGACGCCGACACTGTCCTCACCAACCCACAGACCCTGCGCATCCTCATTGAAGCAAACAGGTCTCTCTCACCGGGATTGGCCAGAGGGCCCTCAGATTAGTCCCCAGGGAGCCCCCACCTCCCGCTCTGGCCATGGGCTTGCCCCTTCCTGGCTCTCACCTCCGCTTGTCCACAGGAAGGTCATAGCGCCCATGCTGTCTCGCCACGGGAAGCTGTGGTCTAACTTCTGGGGAGCCCTGAGCCCCGACGAGTACTATGCACGCTCGGAGGACTACGTGGAGCTGGTGCAGAGGAAGCGAGTGTGAGTCCTGCAGCCTCCCCCCACCCAGGAGCCTGCCCAGACCCCTCCATCCTGCCCCAAAGGCCCGAACGCAGGGGCCCAGTGTGGCCACCACGAAGGCGTGTTGGGTTGTGGGGGTAACTAAGGGCCAAAGGTGGAGCTGGGTGTGAGAGGGCTGTGACCAGCAAGGCTTCCCTGGGGAAGCAAGAGGGACCTCGCGGCTCTCAGCCGCCGAGGGAAGGGGCTCCAGGGGTGAGCTAGGCAGGACTGTGGGGGGATGCCCACCTGGCTGACCCCTGTGTGTGGGTCTCTAGGGGCGTGTGGAATGTGCCCTACATATCCCAGGCCTACGTGATCCGCGGGGAGACCCTGAGGACAGAGCTGCCCCAGCGGGAGGTATTCTCGGGCAGTGATGCCGACCCAGACATGGCCTTCTGTAAGAGCCTTCGGGACAAGGTGAGGGGGCCTGTGGCTCCTGGCGGGGGTGCTGGGAGGCAGCCCACTGGCTCCCCGTCACCCTCCTCACACCCTCTGCCCACTGCCAGGGCATCTTCCTCCACCTCAGCAATCAGCACGAATTTGGCCGCCTCCTGGCCACCTCCCGGTATGACACGGACCACCTGCACCCTGACCTCTGGCAGATCTTCGACAACCCCCTGGTGAGTAGGTGGCCCCTGGCTCAGATGGCATGTGCCCGTCCCTAAGGGGGAATGCCACGCCCCGGCCCCATCCTGCCGCCTAGCGAGGGGGCCTCCTGGGTGGGAGCAAGCGGCGTGAAGAGGGCAGAGGTCAAGGTGCACCCCCCGCTCTCCCCTAGGACTGGAAGGAGCAGTATATTCACGAGAACTACAGTCGGGCCCTGGAAGGGGAGGGGCTCGTGGAACAGGTGAGCCCCGCTCAGGACCGTGGCCCAAGGGGATGCCCACCGCCCCTGGGGCCCACCACCTGGATGAGGGGTTCTCCCAGGGTCCTTGCCCAGGTGCCTGGGGGTTTTCTGCTCAGGCAAGATGAGGGCAGAGGCTGAGCTGATAGGCATGCAGCCCCCAGCCCAGCATTCATCGCAGTGGTCCTCCTTTGTCTGTTGGGTATGTTGGTGTATGGGTGAAATGACATTTTTTAAAACGAGGTTGAAAACCACTGTCGCCAAACCGAGGGCTCCTGGAATCGTGCTGTCTGTGCCGTGTTCTCAGTGCTGCTCTCACCTTCTCTGGCCAAGTCGTTTCCCTCCCCAACTCCCCCCACCAATCCATCCCCATGCTCAGCTCCCCGTTCCTCCACATTCTCTCATGTCCTGGCTTACCTTTCTGCTCCCTGCTTTCTGTCCCCTCCCTCTGGCTGCCTGTCCCCTCCCGGAGCATCACCCAGCCCTGTTTTCTTCTTCCCCTGCCCCATCCTGTCTCAGCCTTGCCCAGACGTGTACTGGTTCCCTCTCTTGTCTGAGCAAATGTGCGACGAGCTGGTGGAGGAAATGGAACACTACGGCCAGTGGTCAGGAGGCCGGCATGAGGTGAGGAGCTGGGAGCATGGAGGAGGGGGCCCCTAGGACAAGGGAGGGGAAATTTCCCTGATTGAGGGAAAATGGAATCTGGAGAGTGGCAACAGAGAGGGGGCCCCCAGCAGGAAATGGCACACAGGGGGCACCTCTGTATTCTTCCATTCCGCCATGCAGTCAAGAAATACTCCCTGGGCGGGTCCTTAGACACCAACCCTGATCTGGACGTGCAGGTGGAGCTCCACCCTCCACGGTCCCTCCTGGAGTCAGTAGCAGCAGGGACCTAGCTTCTAAAGTCTGTGATGGACAGCCTGGGTGCTACGGGAGTCACAGGAGGGAACCTTGACCCAGATGTGGGGGGCCTGAGGGCTTCACAGAAGAGGTGACATCTTTGCTGAGACTTAGAGGAAGGAGGTGTGAGTTCGTTAAGACGTGGTGGAGACTTCCAGAGGGAGGGAGCACAGACTTCAAGGCCTGGAAGCAAGAGGAGAGGAGGTTGGCACATCCCCCATCAGCTCAGTACCCACTGCCCGCAGGACTCTAGGCTGGCTGGAGGCTACGAGAACGTGCCCACTGTGGACATCCACATGAAGCAGGTGGGCTACGAGGATCAGTGGCTGCAGCTCCTGAGGACATACGTGGGGCCCATGACCGAGAGCCTGTTCCCCGGCTACCACACCAAGGTGGGCCGCTGCCTGCCACCCCTGCTCCCTCCTCCGCCTTCCCACACCCATCCTGGCTGGACGTCTCCACACAAAGCCTTTTGGCCTGCGAAGCATTTAACTCAGCCCCATAGAGTAAGATCCTGGCTCCCCTGGTGGCTGAGATGGTAAATAATCTGCCTTCAATGCGGGAGACCTGGGCAGATCCCTGGGTCAGGAAGATCCCCTGGAGGAGGGCAGGGCAGCCCACTTCAGTGTTCTTGTCTGGAGAATCCCCATGGGCAGAGGAGCCTGGTGGGCTACCGTCCACAGGGTTGCAAAGAGTCGGACACGACCGACTGGCTGAGCACAGCCTAGAGTGAGACCTCGCAGGAGGGCAGCTCTGGGGGAGCAGCCCGCGGGGAGCAGTGAGAGCCCTCCCGGCCGTCCCCCCAGCCTCTCCTCCCCTGTGCCCGCAGACCCGGGCGGTGATGAACTTTGTGGTCCGCTACCGACCGGATGAGCAGCCGTCTCTGCGGCCACATCACGACTCATCCACCTTCACCCTCAACGTCGCCCTCAACCACAAGGGCCTGGATTATGAGGTGAGTGTCTACTGCCCTTCACTTCAGGGCGCCCCCGGGGCCCCTCCACACACGCAGGCGCACACGCACTCCCTCGCCCCCAGGACCTGTGTCCAGCCCCCTTACAGCCCCTACACATGCATGGTCACCTCCCTGCCGCTTGTCTGCCCTCATCGCGTTTCCCAGTGACTTCTGCGGTCATATTCTGGACCCCTTCCAGGCCGGCTACCCTCTGTGTCCTGTGTCCCCCGTCTGCCGATGCCCACCCCCCGTCCCATCCTTCCCTGAAGCCCGGGTCGGCCTCTCTCGCCTCGGGGCAGCCAGCCACCCAGTTCCCACGTCCGCTCACTCTCCACCCTGCTCCCCTCTTGTCTCTCCAGGGAGGTGGATGCCGCTTCCTGCGTTACGACTGTGTGATCTCGTCCCCTCGGAAGGGCTGGGGGCTCTTGCACCCGGGCCGTCTCACCCACTACCACGAGGGGCTGCCCACCACTCGGGGCACCCGCTACATCATGGTGTCCTTTGTCGACCCCTGACACTCAACCACTCTGCCCAACCTTCCCTGCCATCGTGCCTTCCCATCCCCCCGCTCCTCAGGGTTGGGGGGGTTGGGTCTTGGCTCCTCACCTCCTGGGTGTATGGGGTCTGTGTGCCTGGGACTGAATGTGTCGCCTCGCTCCCCACCGCACGGCCCTCAGGAAGCTCAGGGAGCCCCCTGTCCTGTTCCCCGGTCCCCAGGGGCTCATGGGGACAGGACCTCTGGAGGTTCGCTACATGATAAATTATTGTTTCTCAGTCTCTCTCAATAAAGGAGGATTTGTAATTCTTGAGCCCATTTATTGTTTCATTACCTGTGGACCCCTTGTCCATCCCACCACCCAGAGCAGAGAGGAGACTGGGGGTGACCCCAAAGAACTGAAAAGGAGAAATGACGGAAAAATGATATTAGAGCAGAGTGGGAATCTAGAAGCTTCCTTGTCATTCCAGAGCTCAGGAGGGATGTGTTGGAGGCCAGACCCAGAGAAGGACTTCCCCTGTCAGGCTGAGATGAGAGTCCTCCACCCCCACCCCCACACAGCCCCCAAGCTGTCATCCTCAATTCTCTCCTCACCTGATGGCATCTTCTCCCATGCAGGAAGGATGAGAGAGGCACTGCCCTGAGCTGGGCTCCAGGGATAGTGCTGGGACGTGCCTTGTAGGAGGGAAAGACAGGCCGGAAACTTGTTGGGGCCTCTTGGACCTCAGCTTTTAGTCACATAGAATCAGGAGAGGGGAATCTGGAGGGTCAACCCAAGAAAGCTTCCTGGAAGGGAAAGGGAAACAGCCTTGAAAAAAAAAAGACCTCCTGGAGCTGCTTTTGCCTCTAGTCTCAAGGAGACCATCAAAGGCTTGCAGAGACCCCTGGAGGTGCTCTGAGGACAACAGAGCAGGCACCTTTAGCCTGGTCCTCCCCAGCCTTGCACCTGCTGCCTTCCTGTGTTGATCTCCCAATGTTCCCTGGCAGAAGTCTTTTAAAAACCAAGCACCCATCCTAGGACATTTCCAGCTTCCAACTCTCCACTTGCATCCACAGCTAGATTGTCCTTCTGCCTTCCTCCTACCCGGTTTCCCAGGAAAACTTCATCCATGAAACCATCCTTCCATCCTTCCTGGCCCCCTGGGAGGGTCACCTTCCCATGTGGACTGAGCATCTCTCTGGCCAGACTCTAAAGTTCATCTCACCCAGGCCCCCGCCACCCTCATCACTTACCCTGTGATGCGAGTGGGCTGATCAGGGACAGGAGGAAATACCTTTCTTAACAAGGTCTCTGGTCGGTGAAGCTGCACAGGTGTGAGGCCAAGGACAGAGGCAGAAAGGGTGCGTCAGCCTAAGTGGTATCGGAAGCTGCCTATGCTGTCTCTACCCTTCATTCATGGAGCATCTTCCATGTGCTGGGCACCCATCGTGACGGCTGCAGCGATGAGCACAATTTTCTTGTTGTTCACGGTGTGTGGGAGACTTTGATCAGAAAATTGCCATGACAGGGGACTTCCCTGGTGGTCCAGTGGTTAAGACTTTGCCTTTCAATGCAATGGATGTGGCTTTGATCCCTGGTTGGGGAGCTAGGATCCCACATGCCTTATGGTCAAAAAAGCAGAATGTAAGCAGTAGAAGCAACATTGTAACAAACTCAATAAGGACTATAAAAATGGTCCACATTAAAAAGAAAAAAAAATGGTGATGGAAGGAAAGTATTCTGTGCCAGGAGAGAATGTGACCCGTGACAGAGGCTTCTGCCAGTTGCGCTTCAGACTTCCATAAAAGAAGTGACATTCAATGTGGCTCAGGACTTCCCTGTGGTCCAGTGGTTAAGAATCCACCTTACAATGCAGGGGAGGCTGGTTCGATCCCTGGTCAGGGAACTAAGATCCCACCTGCCACAGACAAGCTAAGCCCTTGCAACTACTGGCTCCTCTGGATGGGGAACCCTTGTGCCAGAACTAGAGAGTCTGTTTGCTGGAACGAAAGGTCCTGTCTAATGCAGCCAAATGAGCAAATTAAAAAATAAAGTGACATTAAAAAAAAAAAAAAAGACATGTCCTACCAGCGGGGAGGGTCAAGATGTAGGGGTGGGGAAATCAGCATCATCATAAAATACTGAGTTTAACATGGGCTCAAGGATGTTTGTCCAAGATGGGAAATAGCGCCAACATGTTATAAGAACAAGAAACGAAAAGTAACCTTTAGGGACTTCCTTTTTAAAGTGACATTCTAGGAATTCCTTGTAGGTCCGGTGGTTAGGACTCTGCCCTCTCATGGCCAAGGGCCTGGATTCGATCCCTGGTGGGGAACTAAAACCTCACAAGGCAAGGAGCAGCCAAAAAGAGTAATTAATTAATTTATAAAGGTGTCAGTCCCTGACCTGGAGAAAGTGGTTGCTCCGCAGCCTCTAGTCACGTTGAACAGGGCCGTGGTCACGGTGAGGACCGGCCCGGCCCACACGGATGGAGTGCTCACAGCCCAGGGGGCTCTCACTTGCAGGGGCTCCCCAATCCTTAGGCTTTCCCATAAAACCCTTCCCTCCAGAGGTCTCCCCACAGAGGCTTAAGCTGCTCCTTAGAGAATAAATCCTCCTGCAGGTCCTCTACCCCACAGCGGCCAGGCCTGGGTGACAAATGGGGAGCCCTGCTGTGCAGGGTACACACACACACGGCAACTTCCACTGGCCCAGGACCCTGCCAGTCTGCTTGTCACAGGGAGCCAGTCCTGACCTCCACAAAGTCCAAACACCTTCCTCACAGCCAGACTCCAAGCCACACCCCTGGTCTTCCCTTTGGGTCCTATTGGTCACAGCCCTGTGAACTCACAGAGCTGGTTAACCCCCCCTTTCCAGAGCTCACGATGGTCCAATGGGCAGGTCAGTAGAGCAGGCAGAAAAGAGGGCAGAACCCGGTTCAGGGGTCAGGGCCAGGGGGTGAGCCAGAAGACAGAAAGCTTCAGAGCCACAGTGGCCCCTATGTGACTCCCCTCTGCAGAAGGCCAGCCGCCTCCACCGGCCTCCAAGTGTGTGCCCTCCTGCGAAGGGTCTTCTCCATTTTGGAGCTTGGTGAGCCCCTGAAGCCCTGAGGACCCCTGGGTCTGGCTCTCTGCATTCCGACGCCATTTGGGAGGGAGGCGAGGCTGGGATCTCTTGGGCGGGGGTGGTGGCGGTGGTCCTTCAAAAGATGAGAAAGATGTAGATTGGCCAGCTGAACCTAAAACCATGCAATAGGGAAGGGGGTAAAGGGGGGAGCTGGGACTTAAACCTCCAGAGTCAGAGTCCTCACACCCCCTCCCACCACCTCCAGCCCAGGGACGCCTGACTGCCTTATTCCTTGTACTCTTGAGCCGGGCTTGGATCCTAGAATTCACTACCTGAATGGACTCTATGAAGACAGAAATACACCTTGGGCAGGAGGCTGCAGCTGTGCCTGGGTCCCCAGCTGGGCCGTCTGGAGACATTTCTGGGACCACCTCCCCATCTCGCTGCGGCACTGTGGAGTTCTGTGCTGGGTGGGAGCTGGGCTTCAGGGTAGAGCCTGGTCCCAGGGTAGACCCATGGGACCGTCACCCCCAAAGTCCAAACTTAGAAGCCCCAAACTGGTGAGCACCCTGCGTCCCCAGCTGGTGGACACCACAGACTTGGGCCCCTCCCACAGCTACGTCTTGGTGGAGCTTCCACCCTCTTGGGGTCCTGGTCCTCAGGGCCTTCAGCACCTTCAGCACAGAGGCCAGTGGCTTCTCTCGCCTCTTCCTTGGCCTCCAGCCCCACCTGCTCCAGCTGCCCCATCACGTCCATCTTCCTGTCTTCCTGGTGCAGGTGAGCAGGGAACCCCCAGTCCCTGCGGCCACCTCCTCCCTGCCCTCCTCCCCCTGGGGGCACCTGGTCCCTGCTCCACCCCCCAGTGCCCTCCTCCCTTTTTTCAGGAGGACTCAGATGGCAGTCTTCAGGCCTCTACCTGCATCGAGAGGTGAAGGTCCCTGTTTGGGGCCTGAAATTCTGGCAGCTGGCCTTGTCCCCAGGCTGGCCCTTGACAGCTGGGCCAACCGTGAACTCTGTCCCAGCTGATCCTGGGGGCCAGGAGGAGGAGTTGCTGGCTGCTGCCGGTGAGCACCCCTCTGGCCTCTTTCTGCCCAAGCTGGGTCCCCAATCCCAGTGCAGTGAACCCCGAGGCTCACCCCTGCGCTAGTGGAAAGCTGAGTGTGGACTACCTGCAGCGGCTCTCCCAGCTTTCCAAAAGCACAAGACACGCTATGCGGTCCCCAGCCACAGGCACCTCCTCCTCAACTAGGCAGCCCCCAGCCCTCAGTGGTCCCCTCAATGGATGTCATGGGGACTGAAGTTAAAGGTGGAAACCACCTGTGGTGTTGCTGTGTTTGTGCTTGGCTGGAATATCGACACATCTAGCTGCACCTCCCAGTGGCCTAGGCAACGCCAAAGACCCGCAAACATAGCAGGGTCCGCTGGCCACACTAGAGATCACAGAGTCCCTAAAGCACCTGGGGGTGGGCCTTGGTGTCACGCCCCCCACTCCTCCGCTTACTCCAGCATGCTGGAAGTGAAGGTTCGCTTTGGGGGCCTGAAATCCTCCTGGCTGCCCTTTCGCAACAACACCCGCCCTGGACTCTGTCCTGATTGACCTGCCATGCTGGTGGGTTTGATGCTGAGAAAGATTGAAGGCAGGAAGAGAAGGGGATGACAGAGGATGAGATGGCTGGATGGCATCATCGACTCAATGGACAGGAGTCTGAGCAAGCTCCAGGAGCTGGTGATGGACAGGGAAGCCTGATGTGCTGCAGTCCATAGGGTCACAAAGAGTTGGACATGACTCAGGGACTGAACTGAACTGGCTGGTGGGTTTGTGTGCGGCATGGATATCCACGATCCTGGCTGTGCCCCCCCAGTGGCCTAGACATTCCCGGAGACCCACAAAAAGAAACAGGGTGAGAGTCCAGGATCTGCTAGCCATTCTGGAGATCACACAGTCTCGGCTGAGACCCAGTCGGTGGGCTCTG